TGTACGAAGAAAAAATGTAGCATGCTATCAAAAAGAACACCAAGGTCACTGAATTCATGAACTTTAGATAATGACGTGGTATTGACATAATACGAAAATGACACGATGGATGTTTTGCGAGATATACCCATGACTATGGTTTTGCGCTACTCACACGAAGTTTATTGTTACTACACCGTTCAGATAAAGAACACAAATCTGACTGCAGCAAGCGACACTTGTTAACTGAATTTTCTTAAATATCTTGATGTCATCGGCATACAAGAGAAAAGAAGAGGAACTAATTGCAAAAAAAGAACATCGTTAACGTAAATTAAAAATAAGAATGGGTCTAATACCGACCCTTGAGGGACTCCACCAGTGTCATTGTACAAGGAAGACATTTGGTCATTTACGGCAACATAACAGGATCTATTAAGCAGATAGATGTGCAGGAGATTCACAACAGAGGAGGCAGCATCAATGTTTGCAAGTTTAACCAAAAACAATGAGTAGCTGACTTCGTCAAAAGCCTTGCTCAGGTCACAGTAAACTGCGTCAACTGTCCTCTCTAAGAAATAGCTAAAGAGATTTGCGTCGTGAAACTGACAAGGTGTGTGAAGGTTGAGCGGCCAGGAAGACATCCGTGTTGATTAGGAATCAATTAATTATTCATCCTATACATACTGTATGTGAAGAGCCAGCTCAAAATTCTTCGATGTGGCACGCAGTAGAGAAACCGGGTGATAATTAGAAACATCAGTTTTATATACTGGAATAACGCGCACAGTTTTACGCATGCTGGGAAATGTGGAAGTGTTCAGACAGTTGTTAAATATTGTAGTCAGTACTAGGACAAATATACTACCATAAGCCTGTAGTATGATGGAAGGAATGTCATCTGGGCCACACGATAAGGGCGGTTTCAAGTGCTTAATGCATGCGCAGATGACCTTTTCATCCAGCGATAGACTACTAGATGTGCTAAGTGTGAGCTGTAGTACTATCTGAGTCCTGGAGTCTGAGGCGTTATAAGCGGATGAAAAATGCTTGGTAAACCAGTCAGCGACGGCATGCACTTCGACACCGTTCGAAATCAGCAGCATAAAGGTCTCACCACTTTTGCTAGACCGTTTGCGTACATACATCCAAAACTCAGCTGCAGCCTGTCAGAAAGACTTTTTTTTTCTAATAATTTAATACAAGAGCCGTGTTCCCGTTTATATAGACGTTTGGAGAGAGCTCGTAAAAAGCTGAACCCATTATATAATAATAATAATAATAATAATAATAATAATAATAATAATAATAATAATAATAATAATAATAATAATAATAATAATAATTGTTATCTTTGTGAGATAGCGAGGGGGATTGTAGAAAACAGTTACTTTTGATTAAGCGCGGGCTTTTTTCTTTGTTTTCTTTTGCATTAAGCGCGGGATTTTATTATTATTATTATTATTATTATTATTATTATTATTATTATTATTATTATTATTATTATTATTATTATTATTATTATTATTATTAACTGGAAACGAAAACACACGGACCTTAGCTTTCTATCGATGAATGCGGAAGTCTGGCGTGCACAATATCGTGCATAAAAGTGAGCTGATTTTCATTTTATTTAAAAAGCACATTTAAAGTACGGCTTCATGGCGGGGTCGATCTGCAGGACGAGGTGACGTCACGCCGGGCAGCGACGAGTCCCAAGCGAGATTTCGCGGAATAAATCTGCGCAGCGCCACACCGCAACGCCGTTTCCTCGCGTGCGTTTCACAACGGCGCCGTCAAAGGGACCTTTTTGCGGGCGAACGCATCCCGCCACGATAGGTGGTGCCTCGTTTAATAACGGCCAAGTCGGACGCGTGAAAAGCCTCAGACAGATGACGGCACAGGTCGCCTTAATCCTTAATCGCGCGCATTCAACGTCACCGCACGGCACGATATATACCACGAGGACCGCTGTCACCTCCGTGCGCTATATCCTCCCGATGTTCCGTGCGTTTTATTGAAACCGCGGGGGGATCTGTCGGAAGCGAGCGCACCACCCTTTCCCTCGTACGCGCAGATTACGACTTCGGACGTCGAGGTTCCCGAAGTAAAAGGCGCTCGCGAGGAGGGCACATATCCCCTTCGACCTTTTTTACTGGATCCCCTCCCTCCTTTTTCTCTGCGTCGTCGCGACACAGTTACCGGGGCAACGAACGATTTCTGACGCGACGAAAACATAGGCACGTACCGGCGGACAGCCGTATATGATTGCGGCGCCCTTGCGCTGCTCGCCAGAGAGCAAGAAAGGTAAAAGGCAAAAAGGCGCTCCAGACTAACGCTCGGTTTGCGTTTGACACGCTGTGTACACAATTGCGTACACTATATATACTCGTATTTACTATTCGTATCGAATAGGGGCTAAGAAAAAATACATTGAGCTTTGAATGGGTGGAACCTAATGCGCAATAAATTTCGCTTCATTTAATTTCAATTTAGGCGCACTATTGCACATGATCGCATTGCCGAAGGCATATTTCGACGAGTCGTGTGACGTGCCGCTTCCCGCGATTTACGTCAATTTTCGTTTTTTTTTTATCAGCGTGGACATAACCGAAAACAAATTAGTGTTATGTTTCTAGCTCGATATTTCATTTTATTCATGCAAAAACAGAGCACGAAGGGCTTCAGAACAAATAAATATTTAGGTACAAGGTAACTAAGAATGACAACTCTAACACATAAGTTAACGTAATACGGCATTATTTATTGTCGCAATATAGCACAGAGTGTCTTGAAATAACGTCCTTTCCATTCAACGTAATTACAGACAGTTTTGCACGCACAGGTGGCGTTTGAAAGGGCTAAACTAAGGCTAAATGAATGAGGAACAAAGCACCGAAGCGCACAGAAGGTCTAAAAATGGTCAGTGTGGTCGGTTTGTGTTTCTTTGACGCACAGCGACCAAGCCTCTGGCATTCAAGTGGACGCCAAAAATTTGTATACAGTGACGGAAATCTTAAAATTGAGAGTCCACAGATCGTGGACATTAAAACAGTGACATCTCACTTGACACTGGCTGAAATAAAGATATTGAAATGAACGTGTTCAGTATAGGGTGTTCCGATACATCTTATGAAGGCTGCGCGCACAAATTTTGAGAGTGAAGTTGATCACGAGGAAATACGCGTGTCGCCCGTTGTTGTAGAACATTTTGCAGCTGGCGATATTCATGCTTCCCTCTTAGTCCGGTTAATGTGGAATATAAGTCTGAAACTTTTGCTCGTAGTCTAATGTCTAGAACTCCGTTGTAAACGCTCTTTTGACGAATGTCCTCAGAAAGCAGCGTCAAAAATGACGTCAATGGACAAGTGGTATATTCGGTATATTATAGCACGTACACTGTATGAAGCCACAGGCCGAATAAACGAGTGCCCTCCCATTGTCACACCTAGATTACAGGCTTAAAATGGGAGGAAGACTCGCCATATTAAAGAACAATGAAAAAAAATGAGATAACTTTGACAGCTCGTGTCAAAGTCGGTGTGCTGTTGTCACTCAGAGGGGGCGCACACAGGCGGATAAAGTTTCACATTCACTGACTGCGTGGCAAAGTGGTGTCGCACCCTTCCATCTGCGTTTGGACATTGGCTGCGTTCATGACGGCAGCTTCCAACTGCACGCATGCCGGCTTCCCTAAAGGTCACCAGAGCGCGACTCTACACGGTCAAGTGCCGTGTTTTGGCGTCCAGGAGTGCGCTATAGGGTCAAGTTTCTTTCTTCTTATCGAGGGGCGCACGTCGGCAACCTAATTTGCGCCAAGTCGTATGCATATGAACTTTCGCTACAGATGTGCGTTCATCAAATAAATAACTTTATTCGCGTGTCCTAGCTCTGTATAGAAACACAAATCCGTTAGGAATTACAGCGAAAAAAAAAAAAAGAAGCGACAGTTGAGCCGCTATAATAGAACGTTTCCGACGGTTCGGTCAACTTTTTCTTTAACATTTTTTCCACAAAGCGCAAATATTTTCATTGTCCCAAGCAGCAAAATAACTACAGTTATGTTGTTGCAATGGAAGACAATGCAGCCACTGAATACTGTTCACTTCGGAAGAAACCACGACAAATTATTCGGTTACCTAGCTTTTAAAGGCTTTTTGTCAGCAACGGCTCGAAAATACTCTTAGGTCACTGAAGTCGACAGAGCAAAATTTTTCGAACGGTAATGAACCTGTAAATAACGGATTGTTTGCGACAGTTTGTCACAGACAGCCATTCTATCCTTCATTCATTTAAGGAATGTGTGCGCATCCGGTTCGAAGTCCTCCGCAATGGGCTGCGAATGGATGCTGACAAATACGTACGATTGGGTGCTTTAAAACTCAGCAAAGAATAAGGCTAACTCAAGCGGGTTTGCTACGATGACGCATCATGCTTTGTCAGTGAACCGTGTGTAAACCTATCAAACAGCTCAACCCGTATTCTCTCAGTGACATGCGCCGTTCATTACGCGCCTCCCAACTCGGCAATTACGGAAGCAACTTCCACTAAAATGACGGGGTATATACACCGTGGCGCTGGCAATAAGAAGCGTGTACTTACGTAAACCCCTTCGGTCCCGTTCGAGACGACGTACAACACGCGTAGCATCACGACTTGAGACGCGACCCGCTTTCGCGAAGTCATTGTTCGCCAAAAGCGACGTCACGGGAAACGAGCAGAGAACGGTTCTCGACTATACCGCGGAAAGAAGCCGCAACACAGCAGCACAATTCGAACAGAGCGGCTGTCGCGCACACACAATAATTCGCTCAATGAATCAGACTCTCAGGGTCGACACCAACGTAGCACGCACATCCCACGAACACCTCTGTGCACGCAACGCTGGCGATGAGCCACACTATTTTTGAGCCCCCGCGGGGAAGCCGGGAGTTCGCTGCTGTGTCTGTGTGAGTGACTGCCGCCGTCCCATGTTTCTAGAGAATAAATAATTTCGCCTCGACGACTCGAGACGTACTCACGTGAGCTCGCTTCGACTGAGGATCGTGGTTCTGCAAGCGACCGCCGTCGTCCGCTTAGCGTCGCCGTCATGTTGGTTGCGATCGATCCCACGACGAGGGGAGCTTTTCGGCCGGTCGTCTGCTAGGCGCTCCTCCGCAAGAGCGAGGAAAACGCGCGCAGTGCGAGAGTTCGGACAACTTTCTGCTGGCTGGAGCGCCGTGGCGTTTCGGGGTGGAATGCGGTTGGCTGGCTGCTCTCTTGCAGGCGACGTCCGTCACAGCGTCGGTACTAGAAACCAGGGGCATAGCCAGGGGGTGGCACACTTGGCCCGTGCCCCCCCCCCCCCCCGAATTTTTTTTCACTATGACGTAAAGAGCAGAAATTGACCATTTTAAGGAGGTGCCCTTCCCCGAAATAATGAAGGTGAACTAAAAAATCCCCCCTCCCCTATAAAAATTCTGGGTACGGCCCTGCTAGAAACAAGGCCACTGTTCTATTGTTTAAAACAAAATAAGCCTGACCTTTCGGGCTATAAAGAAAGAATTAGGTTGTCATTGAAGCGACCGCATCGCTGTCACGGGGCAACTCCTTTGTGGTGGCTAAACAATACAAGCCGCTCTTATTTTTGTACTTCTCCGTCCTTAATAATATATAGGGCTACGTGACCGCTAAACTAAATGAGGTAACTGCCGAACCTGGAGCGGGTCGATTCTACAGAAGTGGAAGTAATCAATGAGGGTATTCTGCACTGAGCGCGTGGTTGCCGCGGCCGGCGCCATTGTCTGAGCGACTAGCGCGATCGACGGCGGTGCTCTTTGACACCTTTAGTGCTACCTAACTCGCACCTCGAAGCTCTTTGCCACTGGTGCAGCGTTTTCTCAGGTCAGATTCATGAGGTGGTCTCGTAAATCATTGCAAAACTATAGGCGTTGCTCTATGGCTTAGAAATCAGAAATCGAAGCCGAAGATTTCAGGTTTCGCAATGGGTGCTAGGTGATAAGGTCGATCGACGAGAATGTGCTTATGAGTGAAGAACTTATAAGAGCGTTCTCGGACGCGTCCATGTGGTCCTGAATGTCGGTGAGCGTTTCAATCAAGTCAGTCGTCTCACGGCGCGAGATAAGTTGTATATAGCGGGCCGAAGTTGCACCACATGCATGGTGGCAAGACTTGCCCTTCATGTGCCCCGTACTCAGAAAACCTCAAGATATTAACTAATATATATAATGACCGATGTTCTCTGCAAATTGAAATGGAGACCCATTTAAATGGCGCGTGGTGCAAATACATTTGCGTTGCTGACAATGTCATACATTTTAATTATGTAACTTTCAAACACAGTTGGAATTGCTATCGTTGGGGCACCAAGCGGAGAGGCAGAAGGCTACCATTTCCATCCATGACATAACTCCCTTCAGCCCCGATTGTAGAAGTCTGCTGTAGATGTATTCGTTGAGTTCTACAGCAGGCATTATTTCGTGAAAAGCAACTTTGAATGACTGAAAGGGGAATAGGTCAATTCATGTGACTAAAAATGCAAGCTTGGAAACGAGGGTACAAGTACGCAATAAAAGAATTACACAAGCGCCGACTATTCGCTGGATGGTCGCACCGTGTAGGCGCGAAAAAGAAAACGAACATTCACGGAGATTATTCGTATTTGTCGAAGCAAAAGCCGTGTCAGCGTGTAAATTTTGACTCGTGGACGTGACCTGTGAGCAGACCTTTTCTTGGGCCCACAGAAAAAAAGTTTTGTCACCTCTTTCTTTTTTTTTTTTGATGAGATATTTCCGATGTTTAGAGTTGACTGTCAGTGTTTGCGTTATCCTTTTCAATCCAACTTGTGCCCGTGTTTGTGCAGTTTGCCTTTGTTGCAGCTGCCCTGTTTAAGGGAGTCATCGCTTAGTATCCAGTCCGCGACACTTCTTTTTTTATTTTCGTACTGGCTGTTTTCTTTTTGTGGACTTTATATGACGTTAATGTTGCCTAAATAAACTGAGTTGTTAACCACCACTGACTCGCTTTATTTTGATTGTCATCATATACATGCACGCGCAATCAACCTTTTACTCGGAACTAATTTTTTTAGGGGAGGGGAGGATATTGAGTATATCACCCATACAAGTGAAGGTGTCGTCTTGAAAATATATTGTTACGAGTGACTGTGTTTATTTAAAGATGAGGTGAAATGGCGTTGTGAAAGAGCAGCGTACTTCTGAGACAGGCCTAGAACGCTTCACCCAACCACACTGTCCAAGCGCCGCTCCACTACTCTTCTTCTTCTTCCGCGCCCCGTAGGCTCGCGCATCTTCGTTTCATTTCCCCCCGCGGCAGACGAAGCTCGCCGAGCGAGTTAAATAGGCCTATGATGGTACTGTTTGAGGCGGGCTGCATGAACAATTTGCGTAGTGCGCGAACGCCGGTTATTGGCTGTGACTCGGGTGACAACGTAATTCACGTCACCGAGACGAGTGACTATCACGAATGGGCCGGAATAGTTTGCTAGAAACTTCCGGTACAATCCTTTTCTATGAACAGGAGTCCACAGCCACACGTAGTCACCAGGAGAAAACTCTACGGGGATATGCTTGGCATCGTAGCGACTCTTGCTGTGTTCTTGCGAAGACAATAATCGAAGGCGCGCTGGTTGACGTGCTTCTTCAGCGCGACACAACGTCTGAGCGATGGACAGATCTTCCTGATGCGAGAAAGGTAATAGAGTGTCCAGAAAACTCTGTGGATTTCGTAGGGGTGCCCTACAATCTGTGCTCTCAGCACTGCGTCGCGGGCCATACGAACAGCTTGTTTTCGAAATTCGATGCCTTCTCCACACTTCACACGAGAAAGGGCATCATGTGACGCTTCAATGGCTGCCAAGTCACTGCGGCATCATAGGGAACGAACATGCCGATACTGCCGCACGGGCAGCCCTTGAAGGAACACGAGAAGCCATACCACTTTCGCGGACCGATGCTGCCAGTAATCTTCGACGACTTGCGCGTGAAATCACGTTTTCACTATGGTGCCCACCAAGCATCGATACGAATCGTCTACACCACCTGTCCTCTTTGATGGCTCTCCGCATGCCCACTGGACTCGACCGAAGAGAAGCCACCCTTCTTCATCGCTTATGGCTAGGAATGGCATTTACAAAATCTTATTCCTTTGTCATAGGAATGGCCGACAACGCTCTCTGCGATGCCTGTCATTGCGAAGAGACGCTACACCACATCCTCTGTGACTGTCCGTTGTATGAAATCCAGAGACAGTCACTGGCGTCCGCTTTTGCGCGCATCGACAACAGCCAAATGTCTGTGGACACTATTCTGTCTAGTGCCCGAGAGAAGACATTGCAACAGAAGGCGACGAAAGCTCTGTTGAAACTCCTACGCGACACAGATTTGAACAAGCGACTGTAACAGCAATGTCACACACCGCGAAAGACAAGACTGGACTATAACTGAGTGTGCGCGCGTGTGCTGCCGAATGTGCTGTTTCTCTCTTCCCTCTCTGCTCTCTATCTTTCATCTCCCCCATCCCTCTCCCATGCGCAGAGTAGCAAACCAGCTGCCTATAGGCTGGTTAACCTCCCTGCCTTTCCTTTCCATCTATTTTTCCTTCCTTCCTGTGGATTTCGTGCGTAAAGCAGAAAGAAGGGTGAATGTCCAGTAACTTCATGCTTGGCGGTGTTATACGCGTAAGTAACAAACGGTAAGACGGTGTCCCAGTTCCTGTGGTCAGCATCAACGTACATCTATAGCATATTCGTGAGAGTTCGATTTGTTCTCTCAGTGAGACCGTTAGTTTGCGGATGGTAAGGGTTGCGGTGGTAAGGGGTGGATACGAGGAGCCACAGAGGCGCAAAATTTCTTCAACCACATCGGCGATAAATTGTCGTCCACGGTCACTGATGACAACCCGTGGAGCACCGTGACGCGGTATGACCCGCTGTAACAGAAAAGAAGAAACAGCTGCTGCTGTGGCCGATGTCAGTGCGTCCGTTTCCGTATAACGCGTTAAACAATCCACGCACACTATAACATATCGGTGGCCCGATGGTGTCTTAGGAAGGGGTCCGAGCAAGTCGATGCCGACTTTTTCAAAAGGAGATGTCGGTGGAGGGATGGGCTGCAAATAACCTGCCGGGACAGTGGTGGATCGCTTGTGGCGCTGACATATAGCGCAGCTGGCGACGTACTGTTTTGTGGTCTTCCACATTTTCGGCCAGTAGAACCTCTCACGTAGTCGATGTAGCGTACGTGTGAAACCGAGATGACAGGATGTTATGTCATCGTGCATAGAACGAAGGGCGACCTGGCGCAGGCTTTCCGGCACCACTAGAAGCAACGGGAGGCCATCGGCTGAATAGTTTCTTTTACACGGCAAGCCATTTGAAATTTTAAAGTGCTTGTCGACGGAGTTATGTGCAGCTTCGAGCAAGGGTTTCAGAGTAGGGTCGCGCTGCTGCTCACGTTTGAAGCTGCTGGTATTGGGAAGTCGGACGAGACAGAAACTAAATAGTCATCAATGTCATCGTCGTCAGCGTTGGTGTGTACTGAAGGAAGGCGGGATAAGTAGTCGGCATCTGTGTGATATCGTCCGCTCTTATAGGTAACAGAAAAGCTGTACTCTTGGAGGCGCAACGCCCAACGAGCCAGCCGGCCAGACGGGTCACGAAGTCCCACAAGCCAGCATAGTGAGTGGTGATCGGTCACTATTGTGAACTCGCGGCCATGTAGATACGGTCGGAACTTTTGAATGGCGAAGATGACTGCTAAGCACTCGAGCTCGGTGAGGGTGTAGCTCTCCTCTGCTCGGGTCAGTGTCCGACTGGCATATGCTACGACGTGCTGACGGCTGTTGCAGAGTTGGACCAGCACAGCACCAACACCTAGCCCACTAGCATCAGTATGAAGTTCAGTCAAAGCATCTGGATCAAAATGCTTTAGGATGGGTCCTGAAGTCAATAAAAACTTCAGCTGTTGAAATGCAGCCTCACATTTATCATCCCACAAGTACGGTGTGTCTTTATGAAGAAGGGACGTCACTGGGGAGGCAAGTAGTGCGAAGTTCTTAATAAATCGGCGGAAATATGAGCACAGACCCAGAAAACTTCGCAGGTCCTTCACTGTTCGTGGTGGTTCAAAGTTGCGAACCACTGCGGTCTTC